GTAGTTGCTATGAAAACATTATTGAATGCTCAAGGCATTAAGCGATGCCTATACTCCAAACATTTTCCAAATATTTTCTTTTTGTGTATTAAGATAAAAAGATCAATTAAAAACATTAGCTACACTTTCTTCTAAAGTTATATGTTTTGGATTTCTGTGCTTAACGGTCCAGCATTACTGTCAAACCTGTATTTCAATCACCGAAACACAAGTCCATTAACACCATGTGGTTGAGGCTGGAGATGAAAACAGTGAACCTGTTCTTAGGAAGCCTGCAGGCTGGCAGAACGCATGGAGTAATAAAGACGGTATTATTATAGAGTATGACAACTGCTTTTACATCAGGGGACACATTAGGCTTTGGGGGGATTATGTCAAAGGGAATCTGTGTTTGGGAGTCAGGAAAGCTTTTCCAGGAAATGACGGGAGCTGTATCTTACTGAGTAGAGTTGGATCAGTAAAGAGACATGAGTTGTGTTCTAGAAACTCAGAACTAACACTTGGAAGTGAAAGACAGAATGGAACATCATGAAAACTGAAGACGGCTCTATTAGACCAAGCTTGATCATGCAGTTGTTTGTGTTTGCTAAGTCCTTTCTCTGATGTTTAGTATTTCCCAAGACTGTAAAATATATTCCAAGGATGTCTTCTTACTCCTGTTTCATTTTTATGTACTTACCCACAGTACTCTTATTTCAAATAGATATGTATATTTTGAAAAATTTCAAACATGCAGATGAATATAGGATATAATATAACCAGTCTGTATGCAGACCAGCTGACTTTAAAATTTAGCATCTTGCAATATTTCAAGGACATCAATTTTAAATTTTCATTTTCAATAATTTTAGACTTTCAGACCAGATATGGTGGTGCACACCTGTAGTCCTAGAACTCAGGAGGCTGAAGCAAAAGGATTACTGTGAGTTCAAGGCCAGCCTAGGCTACATAGTGAGTTTAAGACCAGCCTGAACTACAAAGAGAGACCATGTCTCAAACACACAAACAAAATATTTTTAGACTTTTAGAAAAGTTAATAAAATAGTACAAAGAATTCCCATATATATTTATAGTTATCTGAGGGAGACTTGTTTCAGAGTTCTCAGACATACCAAAAATTGAGGATTCCCAATTCACATATTGGAATGGTGTATTTTCTGTATATAACCCATGTACATCCTTCTGCATTCTTTAAATCATCTCCAATCTGCATATGCTGCCTAATACAATGTAAATGTTATATAGATTATTACTGACCATATTATTTGGGGAATAATGACAAGAAGAAAAGTGTGTACACATGCAGCACCAAGATATATTTTTTCCCAAACATTTTTAGTCCGATTAGTTGAATTCATGAATAAGGGTAGAAGGATCCATTGTACTATTCATTCACATCACCCAAATATTGTGCTTTCACTTTCTCTCTTTCTTGGCCCAGAATGTGTTTCAGATATGCGGTCTCTTTACTTTTAAATATTTCACTGTGTATTTCTTAAAATCAGTGTCATTCTCTCATTAAAAATATAACAAATTCAGCAAATTGGTATTGATATAGTTCTATTATCTAATCTACATATCTTAGAAAAATTTGGTCATCACTACAATAATAATTTTTTATGGCAAAAGAAGGTACCAACATCCAGAATATATTTAGCATTTATTATTTCCATCCATGTTTTTGTTTCTAATTTTTATTTCACTTTGAGATATTGGAAATTAAGCCCAGGGGCTTGCCATGTGTTCTACCACTGAGCTATATCCCCAGTCCCTATATTTTATTTTTAACTGAATATACCTCATTCATATACTTCTGCCTATTTGAAATTCATACAAAATAGCAACCAGCCACATTTACTCTGCACTGAATTCTTTTCTCAATATTAGACTTTTGAGATTTATTTATGTTGAACATTTTGATGGCTGTATAATATTCTGTATTGAAAAAATAACAGAATTCATTTTCCACATATCTATATGAAGATATTTGTTACTTGGAATTGAACTCAGGACCTTGCACTTGCCAATCAGGCACTTGTATCAGTGCACCATATCCCCAGCCCTAGATTATTTCTTTCATGGGTCTCTCTTTTCTTTTGACTTCCTCCCATTTTCCCTGCCCTTTCTCCCTTGTTATTGCAGATAACAAGGAATGAGCCTTTAAAAAAAGCCAAGGAATGAGGCTTATTGGACATCCTTCCTCCTTAGGTACGCACTGGCCTAGGATACTCACTGGAAAATGGAAGTGCCAAGTAAAATTGTATGCATACTGTTTCAGTTACCTTTGCTATATGATAAGCCATATACACAACACAGTTTTATTTGTTCAGTGATCTATCATCTTATTTGAGGTCAGATGTTTCAGTTCTTCTGCTGTTTTGCAGAAGAACTGTGACTGGGCTTATCATCTGACATAGCTGAGTAACTATCCATGGAATGTCATGGACTCTCTTTGAACAGTTTATTTTTACTATTTTGAAATCTTGGCTTTATGACTTAAGCACATATTATCAGGTTTGTATATCATTGAAACTCTGAAACTTGTTGGGTCCATGTTTGTGATGACTAGGTAGTAGATTATGTTATATTATTCAAACATTCATGTAGAAAGTGGCCATTCTATATATGTAGCATATAATATTCTCTACAGATGTATTACATGATAATTTATAGGTTCAAGTCTCTATGCTGACTAATTTTCTGCCTGTGAGATGCATTACTTCTTATGGAATTGTGTTAAAATCTCCTAGTATTCTATTATTTTCCTTTCCTTTTCTTTTTCTAGTACTTGAGATTAAACCCAAAGCCTTTGTACTGAGTTATATCCTCAGCCCTTTTATTTTAATTTTTAAATTTTCACACAAGGTCTTACTAATTTGATAAATTTCCTAGACTGGGATTGAACATGTGATCTCCCTGCCTCTCACATAGGTAATAGATGCTCATACTTTTATGTCCTTTTGACTATACGGTCTTTTTATAATTATGATCAGCTAAGTTTTAAAAAATCACAATATTTATTACCTATGTGCTAATTTGTTATATTAACATTCCATGTTCTTTTATGCATGTGCACATATATCTTTAATTTTGATATTTCAATGTGATTTTAAGCTTGTGTCTTGTCAGCAAAATGTCAATTAAAAATTTTTTTTATCGTTTTGAGACAAGATTTTGCTATATAGATAAGGTTGTCTTGAACTCCCTTTGTAGCCTGGGCTGACCTTTAACTTGCAGTGATACTCCTACCTCAGCCTCCTTAGTGCTGGGATTACAGGTGTGTGCCACCATGCCCAGTCTCCAAATGTCAATTTTAAAAGTCAAACAATTTGATAAAGTTTATTTTTAATAGGAAAGTGTAGTTCATTTATACATACACAGAAGAAAATTTTAACTTATAGATTCAGAAAATACAAAACTGGTCCTAAGCAGAAAATACAATAAAAATTCAACAGACACCTGACAAAAATGAGAAAGAGTCTTAAAAAACCACCCGAAATCTCTGATACTATCTTTAATAATAATTACAGAAAATTTCTCATTAGCCACAATAATTTCCCAAAGACAGTATATTTTGAAATTTTGAGTTATACATTTAAATGGAAAAGCTTTGTTTTGCTTTTAAAACTCTGTTCTATTTCCTTGTTTCCTCCTGGGTTCACTGCTTTGTCCCTAATGGTTTTGAAATCATTTCTCTTTGATCTCCAGGTCCCAGGCCATAACTAGACTTTTAAAGATACCTTTTAAAGTATGCAGCAGTGATTCTCTGGGTATCAGTTTTCATCTGAGTATTTGTGTCCTTCTCTCTCTCTTTGGTCTGCAGCTTGCAATAGGAATTGGTAAGCATTTTTTAAAAACTGAAATCTTTCTTTCTTTTTAAAAACTGATTGTCTTCATTGCTTCTTTTGGATCCAAGCGGTGAGCCCCACTCAGGCCCTTTTCTAGTATAATGCACTATTATCTTTATTACACTGCTGAGGCTGATCTCTCTTTTAATTTCGGCTTTTACGGCTCTAGACTGGTGAATCACCTTTTGGTCTATCACCAGTCCATTTGGATGTTTTCTTTTTTATGATGCATCTATTTTCTCCTTTTTTATATTTTATGAATTTGTAATTTATTGGGGTAGAGTATGTATACCAAAGCATGGACTTACTTCCATACACTACATTTCTTTTTATGAAGAGTTAACACACATTAAATGGATTATATACCTAATTTTGTTCATTTTCATTACAAGTACATCATTATACAAGTAAGGATACTTCAAAACTATTTCTCAAGCTCCACAGTAAATATTCTGTTGATCATTCTGTTCCCTCACTTTATAAATTATTTAAACAGATATATTCTTCAACATGCATAAAATATCTCCTATGAAAAGATTAAACAAAGAGCTAAGATGTTCAATAGTAATTGAAAATTACAGTTATATAGATTTCTATAATTTATATTAGCACAACTAAAAATATTACTTTAGACAATCTTCATCTCTTCAAATTTCCCCAATTAAAATATCACAGTATCCTGATAAATGGGGTCTACATTAAGCGGAGATAAATTATAAAGTATTCACAACCTAGGGAAACATGAAACTAGCCTTAGTCATACTGGTAGGCCTTTTTCAGTCAAAGTGTCTCTTTTAGAGAAGAGAGCAGTAAACTCAGAACAACGGAATGACTTCCCTAAAGGCAGGCAGAAAATATTAGAAGCTGGATCTTCTTGTTCCTAACACGGTGCTCTTTCCACAAGGAGATAAGGCCTCACACAAACACACCCTTCATCTCAACCACCTACACTATTACAGGCTCCTTTTCAATGTAAGAAACATAAATATAGAAGATGTAAGTATTAAAGCCCGATTAATCCTGCTTCCCCAAATTTCTAATACAAATCTACGAGGGGATATGGAATAAAACGTAATAAGGAGTGAAAGCAAGCAAGTAAGAATCATGAATTATTTTTATCTGAGTGGCTTGTAAATTTCACCACAAGTTTACCTGAGAAAATGTTTCCTCTTTATCTTCCAGTAAAGACTGGGGTGCTGACAGAAAATCTTTTTTCTCGCAGCTCTCCTGGCTGACGAGGGTGTCCGCGTAGTTGGGCTGCGGGAAGATGAGGTGGCTCCTCCTGGAGTCCGAGGTGAGCGAGATCTCGTGCGAATAAGTCTGCAGGAAGGCGCGCGCCCCGTCCAGCCCCACGAAGTGTGGCGCAGGTGCACTAGCCGCCGCTGAGTCCCTCGAAGCCTGGAGCAGGCGCAGGGAGTGCCCGCGCTGCAGCTTGAGCACCAGCAGCACGATGACAAAAACCAGGAAGACACAGGAGACAATAGCCACGGCCACCACCAGGTAGAGCGTGAGGTCTGAATCATCGGGATCGGTGGGGGTCTTGATGCTGCCCAGATCTGCTAGCACGTCTGGGATGCTGTCAGCCACAGCTATGGTGAGAGTGACAGTAGCTGAGAGAGGGGGCTGGCCGTGATCCTGCACAACCACCACGAGGCTTTGCTTGAGGGCATCTCTGTCCATCAGCGCCCTTGCCGTGCGCACCTCTCCAGTGTGCAGCCCCACTGAGAAAAGCCCTGGCTCACTGGCCTTGAGCAAACGGTAGGACAGCCAGGCATTCTGACCCGAGTCTCTGTCCACTGCCACTACCTTGGTCACCAGGTACCCTGGCTCTGCTGAGCGGGGTGCAAGCTCCACACCTGTGGAACCATCGGTGGGAAGGGCAGGGTACAGGATCTCAGGTGTATTGTCATTCTGGTCTAGCACAAACAGATGCAGAGATGCATTACTGCTGAGTGACGGGACCCCACTATCCCGGGCCATCACTCTCAGTTGCATGTCCCAGAACAGCTCGTAGTCAAAGGATCGCAGTGCATAGAGGACACCAGTGTCAGAGTTGATGGAGAGGTAAGAGGACAAGGGTACCCCTTGAATAGTGTCCTCAGCCAGGAAGTACGTGACTTGTGCATTTTCACTGCTGTCAGCATCCTGGGCCATCACGGAGAAGATGGAGGCCCCTCTAGGATTATTTTCAGGAATGTAGACAGAATAGGAATCCTGACTGAAAACTGGGGGATTGTCGTTGACATCTGTCACTAGTAGTGAAATGTGAGTTTGAGTAGAGAGCATCGGAGTTCCCTGATCTGTTGCTGTCACTGTGATATTGTATCTAGAAGTAAGTTCTCTGTCCAGTGTTCTTTCTGTTACTAAACGGTAATAATTATCAACCAACTTTTCTAATATGAAAGGTAGAGTTTCAGGAATGGAACATGTGGCATAACCATTATTACCAGAGTCTTGGTCATGGATACTGATAAGAGCAATTATGGTCCCAGGAGGAAAGTTTTCTGGGATTGCAGTGGTGACAGAGGTGACAGTCACTTCAGGGGCATTGTCATTTACATCTAAAACTTTGATTAGCACCTTAGTTCTGGCCATGAGCCCAGCACCATCTTGAGCTTGAATTTCCAGTGGATAAATTTTATATTCTTCAAAATCCAGTGGTTCTTTATTTGATATTTCTCCTGTGTAAAAATCCAACTGAAATATTTGGGCCACTTTATGGTCCATATTGTGAAAAGAATATGTTACTTCCCCATTGGCTCCCTCATCTGGGTCAGTGGCGTTTACCATGAGCAGCCGCGTGCCCAGTGGGACATTCTCTGGGACGCTCTTGTGGTACTCCGCTTGAGTAAATGCTGGAGGGTTGTCATTCACATCCACCACTTGAACACGAATTCGGAGAGTCCCTGAACGGATTGGGTTGCCACCATCAAAGGCAGTTAGGATAAGGTGGTGAACAGCTTCTTTTTCTCGGTCTAGGGGACTCTGCAGCACCATCTCTGGGTGTTGGAGTGTGTCTGTTCCTTGTTGTACATCCAGGGAGAAATGAGGGTTGGAGCTGAGCTGATAGCTCTGGAGCGAGTTCATACCTACATCAAGGTCTTGCCCAAAAGGCAGAGAGAACCTGGTACCTGGAGGAGTTATTTCGTTCATTTTAAATTCCAGCTCTTCTAACTGGAATTGGGGAGTGTTGTCATTAATATCAATTATTTCTACTTCAACAGGGAAAAGCTTCATTTCATCCTCCACAAGGAGGTTAAAGTTCACCACACACCGCGCGCTCTGGGCGCACAGCTCCTCCCGGTCTATCCTGCCCGCGGTGACCAAGCCGCCGCTGCGCGGATTCAGAGTGAAAAGCTGCGTCCTACCTCGGGAGACGATGCGGACTCCATGCTTCGCCAGTTCCGGGGATTGTAGCCCCAGGTCCTTGCCGATGTCGCCCACGAAAGACCCTTTCTCTGTCTCTTCTGGCACTGAGTAAAAGATACTCCCGGCCCTGGCTTCCAAAAGTAGCCCCAGAAAAAGGCACAGCAGCATCAATACATTGCAGCAGGTCAGCTTCACCGGAATCGCCATTGCTCTCTGGCTTCGTAGCTTTTTCCGAGACTGGATAAAGGTATCCTTTGTCTACTGTTCAGAGCCTAAATTAACTCAACTTTCAGAATAATTTCTAATGGAGAGTCTTCCAGAAAAACTGTTTGGGTAGCCTCCGGTATAAATTTTTCAATCTGGTGGTGATGGAGGTTTTAAGAGGCACAAGACTCCTCGCTCCGCCTTTTTTTTTTTAAACTGGGAGCATTCTCAGTGCCCTGTCCCCTAGATTGGTGAACAGCGACGCCCAGAGTCCTAGCCAGTTACTGCATTCCTAGAAAAACTCAGTAACCTGATAGGTTTTCGTCAAAGAAATATTCGTTCTACAGTATATGTATGAAGTCAAGACGCTATGTCCATTTACTTAAACATATCTAAACGTCATAAAATTTCTTTTTATGTATTTTTGAGATAGAATTTTGCTCTGCGGTTCAGGTTGGTACTGATACTTACACCAATCCTCCTGCCTGAGCCTCCCGAGTGCTGGAATTACAGTGCTACACCAGCACACCTGGCTATTTTTTAGTTTTTGAGACAGGGTCTTGCTATGTAGTTCAGGCTGGTCGTAAACTCACTATGGAACCAAGGCTGGCCCCATTGCAGTGGTCCTCCTGCCTCAGCCTCTTGAGTGCTGAGATTACAGGTGTATGCCACCACACCTGACTAACATCACTAAATTTCAAATGCTGGAGAATCACTATTTCCAAGTGTCAGCTTCCTCTCTTTGCTATTTGGGGAATAACATTTAAGGGTGCTTTAATATTACAAAGGGGAGAAAAGCATTCCTCTGTTTTTCGTGTTGCATAGTTTGACTACATGATAGATTTTTGGGCCACATAAAAGAACTGCCCTTTGAAGGATGAAAATGATTGGAAGAACTGGGTGTGGTGGCACACAACTGTAATCCCAGCACTTGGGAGGCTGAGGCAGGAAGATCGCTGAGTTCAAGGCCAGCCTGGTCTACAAAGTGAGTTGAAGGCCAGCCCAAATTGCATAGTTAAACCCTGTCTCAAAAAAATGATTGGAAGGAAGGAAAAACAAACTTTTAGACTGTGAAGCAGACTTTAAAATTTTGGATTGTCTACCTAATTTCTTTTCCATTATTTGAATATCCAAAATTATTGGATTTTGAAGACTACATTTTATCTATATTTTATTTTTAGTACTAGTGTTTGAGTCTAGGGCTTTGCTCATACTAAGTAAGCATTCTACCACTAGCTATGCCACAAACCTTTAAAAAACTTTAAGACAGGGTCTCATTGGCCTCAAACTTTTGATCCTTTTGCCTCTGCCTCCTGAGTTTCTGGGAATACAGGCAAATGTTTCCTTGCCCAGATGTGAATCTTTATAGAGTTAAGTTTTTAAATTCAACCTAAGGCAATATATTTTGAATAAACCAATAGTATGTTCTCGAAATTTCATTAGAAAATGTGACATTGATACATAATTTAGATTTCAAGTTTCAGACACAGAGAGGTTGTGATAGTCTTCATAACTGGAAAGAAAAAAGGCCACTTATTCTTAGGCAGGTTATCAGGATAACATGTTATTCTGTTATAATCACACAATATTTCTGGGCATGGTAGAACATGCCTTTAATTGCAGCATTCAAGAGGCTGAGGCAGGAGGATGATTGTGAGTTCGAGGCCAGCGTGGGCTACATAGTGAGTTCAAGGCCAGCTTAAACTGCATAGTGAAACTCTGTCTCAAAAAGGCCTCCCTAAAAAATCACACAATATTGTTCCGAGGAAAAGTTTGTTTTCTTAAATAACCATATTTTCTAACTACAAAGAAAGATTAGGACATTGCCTTCCACCTTTTACTCATTGCAGTATTAATAAAAGATTACTAACTAAAATGTTCAGACTTAGAGTGATTTATCTTTACCTAAGAATTAAAGAAGTATGGTATGTGCACCCCAGAATTTGGCATTTTCAGGAACAACTGGAGCCCCATACTGGCAACCAATAATAGATACTGTGGCTGATAAAAAGTTAGTAAATGAGAAAAGAAAGAAAAGGGCTGGGGATTTAGCTCAGTGGCATACATGCCTGCCTGGCAAGTGCAAGGTTGTGAGTTCAATCTCCAGTACCAAAAAAAAAAAAAGATTTAAAAAGCTACAAGAATGTGCTTGGAAAGAGAACATTTTTCTTCTTGTATAACCAAATTTACAGTTTATCAGCTTCTGAAAGACAAGTAAATGAACCCCAAGGATAGAACTTAAAGATGTGACAGATTTTCAATATTTCAAGGAAGAAATTCTTTAACAGGAAACAATTTTTCAGAACATACATTAATGCACACACACTTTTCCTCGAAGGAATTGTAAGCTGATGAGTCAGACCAAAACACATAAATATTAACAACTAAACTTGAGGAGTTCCTGACCTCCAACAACAAAAGACAAACAGGAATTATTTATATAAGTATGTACTAAATAAAAATATTAAAACTCACATGAACACATTTGAATGTAGTGTACATATTATGCTTCATTGGTGATACTATAGAGAACATCCAGTTGAAAGATGTTTCTTGAGTTAATTTGAAGAAACTAAGATAATAGAAGACACACATATGTTGTACAAACATGGAAGATCTCTCTCCTTTTATGTTGGGGGCAACTCCAAATGAAGGCTTTGCTCAAAAACAGGATGAAGGCAGCTTCTAGCATCTGGATAGAGCAGCATTGGAGTTAGAAGCTGATGGCCAGAGTCTCTGTCAGGAGGAACACAGAGACCAACGCCAATGCCAGTTTTATCAGCTAAAACTGTAGCTCTATTGCCTCTCCATGGGTGCTGGCGGTGTCAGCTCCAGCAGCAATGCCTGCAAACTCTTGGCATAGACAGGGGCAGCATGATTTGCCTTTGCATAAAGGACCAGTAAACTTCTATGGGCTCTGTCACTTGCAACAATGCAGTGCACAGCTAGCTTTTCTGTATCTCTAGGTTGAAGACTCAGCTTAGGTATTCTGAAACACATGATAGGACTGTGAGCCCTTGTGACCCAGTTGCCTTCTACATGGATGCATACAGTGAAGTGTCCCAAAGGCTCTTGCCCAGCTGCAACTCCTGGCATAGAATCCTCCATTGCATTTTCTTGGCAGTTACCCACCATCAGCGGCAGTCTCAAGATGACAGTCAAACTGTCTTCACCACTTTTAGAGTCAGATCAAAAGTAGTCTCCACAAACACCACCACTGTCTGCCCTCACTGACAGGACAGTACTCCTCAGTGCCAGGTTGCTGATCAGGAAGAAATAGGAGGGGGAGCAAACTCTAAGCTCTGTCAGAAGCACTGAGATATGGGACAGAGGCCTGGATGGGTGTTCCTGTTGTATGGATTGAACAGGTAGCCTATCTGAAATCTAGAGTACGTTTTTTTGTTGATACAAATGATACTCATGGTGATGATTGTGCTCCTGAAGGAGGGGGCAGTTTGTCCTTGTTGGTGGCTCTGATGGTGATGTTGTACTTCAGAGTTTGCTTCCAGAGTGTGGAATTCCATCAGAAAGTAACACGTATGTAGTAGTTCTTGGATGAAAATTGTTTTCAGTGGTATCATTCCTCTCTACAAAAATTTCAGCTCTACTTAAACCAGGCTCTCAATTCATTTGTTTTGGTTACAGAACCACAGGTCTTATTCTAAAAGGACTAAACACCCAGCTGACAGACACCTGCAGTGCACTGTAGTCCTTAACCCCCATTTTAACCTTACTGTTAATATTGGCTTTTTCTTTTTCATTCTTTTTTTAAATTAAGCATTGCTGTAATTTGGGGGCAGTAGCTATATTCTATCTACTTTGTGAGGTTGGGTGGAGAGTGTAAGAGAACTCTAAGCATGTCATCATGTTAATGAAGGTCAATTAAAATCAATCAAAGTGCAGAAGAGGTGGTGAAGGGCAGGCTCCCCTATAGGGTGGTTCACTGTACACTTTGTGGTTCAATATCCAAGGATTAAAATCGGCATCCCAGCTTCTCTCTTGCCCTGAGTTGTTCTGTTCCATACCCACCATTAAAAAGTTGCAGCTCTGGTCCTGTGTGCAGTTTCTTCTATAACAATTCAGAATATTTATTGTTCTGATGCTTTCCTTCTAAGGGTCACAGATGATTATTGAAACTAATCGATAAATTTATAGAGAGTTACTGCCAGCATCCAAATCCACAGACTGCTGTTGACGATCTCTTCCAGAATCTTCAAAACAAATGTCTGTACCAAAAACCATTATGGGATCATTTATACCATGATATGTTTATATGAAAAAATTTTATACAACTTTCAGTGAATTTGATATTCTTTTTTTTTTCCCTCACACTTGCCAGACAGCCGCTGTGCCGCTGAGCTACATCCCCAGCCCTTGAATTTGATTTTCAAATTTAAGTAGTTTAGGAATTTCCCTTGTCTTCTATATCCATCCTGTCATTTTCAGGTTGGTCTTTGCTCTCTTTACTTAGCTTGGACCGTTCTCAGCACTCACCTGTAGTTTCTGGTCACCAAGCACAGATCTTCTGCAAGATCCCCGATCTCAGCTTCTTTTCAGGAATCTCACAGCATATCTGCCGCATAGTTCTCCAGGCTGAACAGAGGCAGCACGAAGGGAAACAGCGCTTCCTGCACTCCCTGTGCCTCCAGCATGGCCGACTTCTCCACGCAGCTGCTCAGATCCGAATACCCTAGCTGCTCCCTCCTTCCGAATTACAAATGTGCGCTGGAAAGAAAGGGCAGCATCACAACCAGGCTTATTAAACGTTCTGACGTCCCAAGCAAAGTATTTGGGACAGATTGCAGGAGAGAGACCCTGCCGTCTTCTGATGCGTTTCTCAAAGCCTGCTAAGATCTCTGCGTCAGAATGGCTTAGCTTCACCCTCGGATTTGCAGACAGCGACACCCAGAGGCTCAGCGTGGTATCCATTGCAGATTATTTCTCAAAGTCCTCCGAGAGACTGCTACTTGCAGTAGCAGTCTAAAGTTCCGTGATTCCTCTTAGTAGAGTACCAGTTGCTTCTTTTTTTTTTTTTTATGAAAGGTGCAAATCGTGATTTCCTTTGTACAAAATATTAAAGAAATTGTCTATAAAATTTAAATAAAATGTTTAAGTTTATTAAATTTTGATTTAAGAATCCTTACAGATTTTTTTCCAAGACGTTTTTGTTTGTTGGTTTTGTTTCTGGTCCCAGGAATCAAACCCAGGGCCTCGAGCACACTAGGGAAGCACTCTACCACTGACCCACCGACCAGTCCTTGAAATTCATTTTTGATACACTGTGAAACTTTTTTAAAAAATGACTGCTAGAAAATGATCCAAAACTTTTACATTCTGTAAACTCTTGCTAAAAATAAATAAAAACTGTTAATGTAAGTTCAATGATATGAAATAAATTTTTCTATAAAAAGGCAGAAAACCCTGATAAAAACTTAAGGTCACTAGTAATTGCATTATATATAAAGTGTATATATTTAGAGCCTATACATACTTTTCTATACACACACATATATTTTTTAATTCTCAAAATACTCCATTCTTTTCATGGCTATTATGTGCTACTCATGCTCTTTCTTTTTCTCCTCTTCTTTGTGTAGTACTAGGGATTGAATATAGGTCATTCACACCAAGCTATATCTTCCATACAGTTTATCTTATTTTTTCATTTTGGGTCGGGCTCTTGCTAAGTTGCTGAGTTGTCCATACTGGGTTTGAATCTTAGATCCTCCTGCCCGGGGCCTCCCAAAGTGCTGGGGTTACCAGGGTGGGTCTCTACGCCTTGCTTCCTTTCCCCTAATACTTCTTTCTAGTTTATACATATGATGAGTCTAATCTCATTCCTCTTCATTGTGCTCAGTTAGAAACATAGTTTTATTTATTTTTTCTTTTAAAATCTATTTTTATCTTAGAGAAAAAAATTTAAAACAATAATTAGGGGATAACAGTATATATGTCGCATATTATATACATATACTGTTTCAGCTTCTCACACTGGTGAGACAATATGATATTTACACATGTATATCTGATTTAAGAAATATAGGTTTATAACCAACAAAGTAAAAGACTTCTACAAAGAGAACTTCATTCTTTGAAGGAAATTGAAAGATATCAGAAAATGGTAAGATGTCCCCTTCTCCTGAATAGGCAGAACCAATATTGTCAAGTGGCCATAAAAATACCAACAGTATGCTTTACAGATATAGCAAAAACAATTCTAAAATTCATATTGAGTTAGAAGAGACCCAGGATAGCAAAAGAAATTTTGGGCAATAAGAGCAAAGCAGGAAGCACAGCAATACCTGACTTCAAATTATAATACAAAGCAATAGTGATAAAAACAGCATGGTACTAGAACAAAAACAGATATATGGATCAACGGGACAGAATTGAGACTAGAGAAACCTCCCTACACATACTCAACTATTTGGTCTTTGACAAAGGAGTCAAAAATAGCATTTTCAAAAAGTGATGTAGTGAAGACTGATTATCTGTTTGGAAAAGATTGAAACTGGGCCCTTAACTCTTACCATATACTAAATTAGAATAAAAATGGATCAAAGATCTAAACATTAAAATATAACCATTAAACTTACTAGAAGATAAAATAGTAAAAACACTTAATGACAGGTGTAGAAAAGGATTTTCTAAATAGAACTCAAATACCACAAGAAATAGCAAGAATAAACAAATGGCATTATATCAGACTACAAAGTTTCTACAACAAAAGAATCAATCAAGAGAGTGAAAAGACACAGAAAGGAAAAAAATTTTGCCAGTTACTTCTCAGAGGACTATCTAGAGTATACAAATAACTAAAAAAATTAAACCACATAAAATTAAAGACACAGTCAAGAAATGGGCAAGAGAAATGAGCAGACACTTCACAGAGGAAAAAATGCAAATGGTCAACAAATATACAGAAAATGTTAAACATCTCTGGCCATTAGAGGAATGCAAGCTAAAATAACACTAACATTGCACCTTAGTGCAGAAAGAAATAAAGCAATAATGAATTCTGGTATGGCTGTGGTGACAAAGGAATCCTTTTTTATTGCTGGGGGGAATGCAAACTACTACATCCATTCAGTATGGAGATTTCTCAAGGAACAGAAATTAGAAATTACATATGACCCAGCTATCCCCTTTCTAGGTATCTTCTCCAAAAAGTTTAAGGCATCATACTACAGTGAGATATATATATATATATATATATATATATATATATATATATATATCAATATTTATAAGTACACAATTCATGATAGCTAAATCCTGGAAACAGCCTGTATATCCATCAATAGATGGCTGGATAAAGAAAATGTGGCATGCATATATATATATATATATATATATATATATATAATGGAATACTATTCATTTGTAAAGATAACAAATTTGAGACATTTGTAGGAAAGTGTATGTACCTGGAAAATATATTGCTTAGTGCAATACATGAAACACACAAGCTTAAATACCATATGGTATTTCTCATTTGAGTGAGGCAAAGTACAAAGAAAATGATAAAGGATGAATACAAAGGCAAAGGAGGATGGGTCTCTCACATGAGGAGGAGGTCCAAAGGAACAAAAGTGAGGGGCAAGAAGGAGGGGCAGGGGAAATATGGAGAATAAAGACATGCCACGTACAGGAAGCTAACGACCACAACTCATGTGAACATTATATGTCATAGCACGAACTAAGACAAGTAATGTCAAGAATGAAAAATGGGATAGGAGAAATGGAGAAGCATTGAGGGTGGAGGGAAGGGGGAAAGGATTGAAAATAAAAAGCAATATGTCGTAATATGTGTATGTAACCACTTTCCAAGAAAACTGCAAACTACATGAACTCCAAACATGGGTAAATGAAATTTTAAAATTTTTTGTAAAAGAATAGGTTTAAAATTATAACCTTATGGCAGTTTTTTCAATCTTGGTATTATTATTATTATTATTATTATTATTATTAGTAGTAGTAGTAGTAGTAGTACCAGGGATCAAACTCATGACCTCACACTTGCCAGGCAGGCACTTTTGCTGCTGAGCTAAATCTCTGACAATCTTAATATTATTTTGAGCCAGATAAATCCTTTTTGTGGAGGATCTGTCCTGTGCCCTGTAGGATGTGTAGCAGTTTTCTCAGTTTCTTCCAACTAGCTGTCAGCACAGCCTCTTCCTACATTTGTAACAACCAAAAATGTCTTCAGACACTAGTGAATACTACCTCTTCCCAATCATTTTGAGAAATACAGACTTAAGGTATTTTCTCAGTGAGTATTACTGAGTCAGGGATAGATATACGGTTAACATAGTCCAACTGGATCAAAAGATAGACTTTGGCTTTGGGAGAGCTACTCTCTTTTTTTTTTTTTTAACTTTTTTTTTGGTCTTTTTCCTTTTTTATCAGTACCGGGAATCGAACTCACGACTGCCTGCTTGCAAGGCAGGCGCTTATGCCGCTGAGCTAAATCCCCAGCCCCGAGAGCTACTCTCTTAACTTTCCATGGACAAAGAAGAAAGTTGCTCAGGTGCTGCTCACATCTATCTTGTGTCCTCAGACTTTGGAAGTATACAAGAAAAGGAAGGCCGAGTTGAAGGAATAAAAGAAAAAGTATAAATGCTCATTCTTCAAATTTAAAAAAGATTGTATCATATCTAGAACCAATGGCACTCTGAGGCCTACCCTGTTTAATCTAATAACTACTAGGCAAATGTAGCCATTGAGCATTTGAAATGTGGATAATTCAAATTTATATGTTCTTTGGATATAAAATGCACAATATATTTTGAACATTTTGTTCAAAATAGAAAAGGAAATGAATATTACTAATTTTTACATTGATTACATGTTGTGTTTATATCTTGGATATATTGGATTAACGTTGTTGTAATTAATTTTACTTGCTTATTTTTACCACTTTAATGTGATTCCTTAAAATTGTATCTGTAGCTATAACTGATGTTACACATTTTTTATTGGACAGAGCTGTTCTAGACTACCAGTTTTATTTTTACTTTTTTTCCCTACTTTTTGATGCAGAGTCTCACTATATAGTCTTGGGGATAGGGGGTTTAGCTTAACCTCCTTGGCAAGTGCAAGGTCATGAGTTCAATCCCCAGTACAAAAAAAAAAAAGAAAAGAAAAAGAAGAAGAGAGATTACTGTGTAGTCTTGAACTCATCATGTGGCCTAGAATCTCAGTAATTCTCCTGCCTCAGCCTCCCAAGTGTTGGGTTATAGGTGTGTGCCACCACACCCAATTTATTTCTTGATTTTTGATTTAATATATCTTCTTATTATTTGGTTTTTGATTTAATGTATCTTCTTATTGCTTAAACTATCTTAAATTAGGCTTTGATTTTTTTATCCAAGTGTTCTACTTGATACAAAAACTGCCATGTATTTTTAAACTCCTTATTCTTAAAAATAATGACATGGTTTATATAAACTTGCTGTTTTAGACATATTGCTATTTCCTCATGCCTATAATTTTCTATCTTGAAGATATAAGCAGGAATTCCTTCATCACCAGCAATGTTTTTAGCCTTCAAAACATTAGCAGGCCCTTATGGAACTCGAAAGTTTGCTAAAGAGAATTTTCATATCTATACAACTAGCAGTAGCCTGCTTGTCTCTATTTAATAATATAAAGAAAGTCTTTAGAAGATATGTTACCATGGAAATTTATCATTATCCCCAAATCTCTGCTTTATCAGTATTACAGGTATTTCATGGACAAATCACTGAAATGTAGTAATTCTTTAACCAATTCAAGGTTTTTCTGGATGTCTAATGGATTTGGAAAACACAATTTATCAACAGGTACTAAGACAACAATAATGTGGCAGTGCCCTTAATATTAGGGTCAATATAATCCCATAATTGTTTACAAAATGTATTGAAAGTGGGTAACACATTTGAGGATTGAAGGAGGTAAACACCAGTTAATCTTTTTAATTATTGATGACAGCATTCCATTTAAAGGTTTGCTAACTAAAATATATCATAAAACTGGCCAATAAGAATTGCAAAGAATTTATTTCAAGCTACTTTCTATGATAAAAATATTTGAACATAATAAAAATTATAAAGATCATGCAAACTAATAGATCATTTTTATGTGTAAACATGGTCTCATGTTTTAAATATGTAAAGTACCATGCAGAGATTAGTACATTAAACTATTATTTCTATAGAATAAAATAAGGTATAATGGATATTTGAAAAATTTATCTCTGAAAAAGAAATCTATCCTCCTGCAAATTTTAGATAAATCATGTAACATTCTTCAACACATTATAAACAAAGACAGTGTAGTTACTTAGAAAGAAATAATTTTTCCTTTACAGTCCATATAAAAAATCAACCTGTGGCAGGATGACTTCCTCCATGATGTAGCATCATAGTCTCCTCAAACTGCCTTCATATACATTATTCATAAACTTATGTTAGTAAACAAATATTAGCATTTCTTTTAGTAAAAATGTATATTACGTGGCTCTATTTCACTTTAAGGCAAACATAGAATCTATTTTTTCCACAAATTATAGGATTCACAATATTTATGATTATGATTTGTGTCTAGATGTTCCCCCAAAGCCTCATGCATAGTTTTTTTGGAGCTTCATGAATCTAAAGTGTGTGATTGATGCATATCACAATGCTGGGATTTTTTTTTTTGTCTTTGTGAGATAGTTTCACTATGTAGGTGAGAACTAACTTTGCAGCATAGGCTGGCCTTAAACTTGCAGAGCTCATCCTGCTTCTGCTTTCTGAGTGCTGGGATTACAGGGTGCTTCACATGAAATGATTAGCACTGTCCTAAACCCAGCAGATTGGCTAGAAGAAACAGACAGGGACATGCCTCTCTCTCCTTCGTAGCATTTGCTATCTTCCCCTGCTAAAAATGGTTGCCTCTGTGTTATATGCTGCCCTGCCCTGGAGCCAGCCAACTATGGACTGAAACCTCTACAAACGAAGACCCAATATAAACCTTTCCTTCTTTAACTTTGGGTGGCAGTTATTTTGTCTCGGCAGTGAAAAAGTAACCAAGTTATGTGTATCTCTTACGTTCTGGGACAGGCATTGGCATACAACAAACAAGAAAGAAAAGCTTCTTAACTACTGAGCTTTTACTCTTGTAAAAGGAAGGCAATTAACAAGCACACACACACAAAAAATGAATTTTGAAAATGTTATTTATGTTTTAAGCAGGTATCTTAAAGTGCAGCTGTTAATATTTTAAAGAATAGAAATCGTGTTAAATGGCCTCGATGCTCTACCAAACATGTTAAAAAATAAATGAAATGCATATAAGTATAAAATTACATAGTTACATCGAAGTACTATCAATACATGCTGATGAGTGCCTGATTATCCACAGATGTGGCAACCAGAAAATAGTAAAACAGTAAAAGAAGTGAAAAAATTCCAAAGTAATTTACAAATTACTGGCGCGTGGGAAGCAAGACAAAATATTTCAGTTGTATACTATGTTTTAAACAGACCATGTGTTTATCAGACAATTGTGTCAATAAACATGTGCAACCAGGACATTCCTTTCTCCTGTTTACATTTGTATCTTGGTCAAGCACCTTAATAAGAACCGCTTCTGGTCCAAAATAAAACGAAACTTAAAAAGTTTGGCTCCCTTTTGGGCATTTTCACAATTAACATTGTAACATAGGAGGCAGCACGTTCAGACACTTTAAAATCTAATCTGTGGTTAGTTACAAAACCTTGTAGCAGCACCAGCTTGAATATACGCTATGGAACATTTAAAATGTTTCAAAAGCAAAATCAGAGAGGACGCCCTTATTTAAGTACCCTGAAGCCTAGAAACTACTTGCCCCTACGGCGACTCTGTAATGGTCCTGGTTTAGCAAGCTGGGAAATCTAATTTTTTTTTTTTTTTTTTTTGGTCTTTGTGTTTTCGGGACAGGGTTTCGCCATGCAGTTCAGGCTGGCCTTGAACTCACATTGTAGCCCAGGCTGGCCTTGAACTCACAGCGATTTTCCTGCTTCATTCTCAGGCGTGCTGGGGTTACTGGCGTGGGCCACCACAGCTGGGCCCCTACAGCCTTCTTGAATCCTTCATTTCTTTGAAAACCAAAGGCTCTGAAAACACTATAATTTTCTCACAGTAAAGGCAGGTTCCAGCGAAAACAGGAGACAAGCCGGCGCAGGGAAACCGCGTAAGCGCTCCCCGGCGCGCTGGTACAGTGAGTACTTCCGCCTGGGCCGCGCTGTCACTCAGGGCCGCGCGCCCGCTCCGCCCCGCGCCGTGACGCAGGGCTTGCTTTTCTGCTAGGAGCTTAAATCTCCTGACCGCTGCGGTCAGAACGCATTCGTGACTGTGGTGCTTTGTGCATCAGGTCTCGGCGAGATTTCGCACTGCCTGTCCTGGGTTCCTCCCTTAGTAATCAGTAACGATCACTTTGTTAAGCAGCAGGACGAACAAAGAAATCGAAAAAGAGACGCTCGGTTCCCGGCCGCTCCGCGGCTCCGGACCGCTCGGCTGCTAGCGGTCGCTTTGCTGCCCCGGGCTGCTCCGCTGCTCCGGGTGGTTCCGGTATCCCGGACCGCTTGGCTGCTTGCGTCCGCTTTGCTGTTCCGACCGCTCCGCTGCATCTGGCCGCTTTGCTCCGACTGGTTTCCTTTTCTGCTTCGCTTTGGCGTTGAGAGGCTGAATTATAATCATCAGTAGATTGTAAGTATCCAAAGCAGCGAGCGCTCACTGTGCCCCGCTCTCTTTCTGTCTGTGTTTGGGAGAGTTTTCTGATTGGGATTGTTTGCTACGTCTTGCTGTCTCTGCTGAAACTAATTTTTTTCTGCTGAAAATCACTCCGCAGGAGCCGCCATTTGCTTCCTATGCGCTCACTCGCTCGGTCTGCGTTGTCCGGCAGCGGCACCTAGAGGCTGGAAGTTGGCATTGCATCAAACAGACTGTGAACTTTGTGGTTTAACCAGTGTTAATAAGGACTGCTGTTCCCTCACAGCATACAGTATTTACAGGAAAGACTTAGTGTCTGATAAGAAATTAAGACAGGATAGACGCCTAGCTGCCTGGTGTTCTGCTTAGAACTCATCTTAATTAGAGATTTGAATTTATAAGATACTGGACTTTTTAGCTGTTGTAGTAACTGGAATTTTTTAGCGCAAAAAGTACTTTTTGGAGAAGTGAGTGACCAAGTAAAGATGAGTAAGAGCAAAGATGATGCTCCTCATGAACTAGAGAGCCAGTTTATCTTACGCCTGCCTCCAGAATATGCTTCTACTGTGAGGAGGGCAGTACAGTCTGGCCATGTCAACCTGAAGGACAGACTGACAATTGAGTTACACCCTGATGGACGACATGGAATTGTCAGAGTGGATCGGGTCCCTTTGGCTGCAAAATTGGTAGATCTGCCGTGTGTCATGGAAAGCTTGAAAACCATAGATAAAAAGACCTTTTACAAGACAGCCGATATCTGTCAGATGCTTGTATCCACGGTTGACGGTGATCTCTATCCTCCTGTAGAGGAACCAGTTGCCACTGCTGATCCCAAAGCAAGCAAGAAAAAAGATAAAGACAAAGAGAAAAAATTTGTCTGGAACCATGGTATTACTCTGCCTTTAAAAAATGTGAGAAAGAGAAGGTTTCGGAAGACAGCAAAGAAGAAGTATATTGAGTCTCCAGATGTGGAAAAAGAAGTTAAGCGCTTGCTGAGTACAGATGCTGAAGCTGTCAGTACTCGTTGGGAAATAATTGCTGAAGATGAAACAAAAGAGGCAGAAAATCAAGGCCTTGATATCTCATCTCCAGGGATGTCTGGCCACAGGCAGGGCCATGACTCATTAGAACATGATGAACTTCGAGAGATATTCAATGACCTCAGCAGCAGCAGTGAAGATGAAGATGAGACGCAGCATCAAGATGAAGAAGATATAAACATTATTGATACTGAGGAAGATCTAGAGAGACAGCTGCAGGACAAGCTGAATGAATCAGATGAACAGCACCAAGAAAATGAAGGAACCAACCAGCTGGTTATGGGAATTCAGAAACAGATCGATAACATGAAAGGCAAGCTCCAAGAGACCCAGGACAGGGCCAAGCGGCAGGAGGATCTCATCATGAAAGTGGAGAACTTGGCACTCAAAAACAGATTTCAAGCTGTGCTGGATGAACTCAAACAAAAGGAAGACCGAGAAAAAGAGCAACTCAGCTCTTTGCAAGAGGAGCTAGAATCACTTCTAGAAAAGTGAGGCTGTTGGTAATTTCAGTTGGCAGGCTAAGTCTATCCTGTCTTACTTTTCAGCACTAGAAAAGTCTTGGTTATATCACTTAAACTGGATATTAAGACCTAGTATTTCCTTTTTCCTCTAATGCTAGAAGTTGTTAAAGTATTTAGTTCTTTTTTTAAGAAGTATCTTGCTGTGTATTTTCTATGTGTTCACTGTTTAGAAAGTAGGATTGTAATAAGCAAAAAGATTGTTACAGGAAAGTTGTAACATGTGAAATGAATAGTTCAGACTTACAGCTTCACTGGAGGACTTTGTTACTGCTGCCCTGTTTTACCTTTGGACAGTAAGAATACATAAGCTAATTTTAAGAAGGCATAAGTTAACTTTTATGTTTTATCATGCAATAACTATTTTCTAGGCTACTAAAGAAATTTTGTATATGTAGAGATGCAAATCACGAAGTTATTTTTGACAAATAAAAGCAACTACTTTTGGACTTTTAATTTTTTAGTGTATCTTATTTAATAGGTACTGGGAGTTGAGTGGGGTGTCTGGGTAGAGTTTAATGACTGGAAAATGTGCTCCTGGTTAACAGGTGATGAAGGAGTTCTGTCTAGAGGAATAAAGAAATTAAGAAATGTCATGCATTACTCCAATTTACCTGTTCCATTTGGAAGAACATTAAACTACCCTAATTTTTGTAGGTAAACATATGTTTGTTGCTTTCTGAAAAGGAGTAAGCTTTTTTCCAAAAAATTTTGGAAAGAAAAAAAAATGGCTGTCAATATAATCCATTAACCATTCCATTAATTTGGATTAAGATACTTCTAATTTCAGTTTAATCCCTTATTTATAGCATTCTGACAGTTGAGGTCTTTTTATCTGTCAATTCATAAAAATTACCCATCAAGGAAGACAATACCATGGTTTGATGATTCAAGTTTTATTGAACTTCCTATTCTTGAAAGATATTATCTCATATATGAAAGCTAGTTTTGAAAATTGGGTGATAGAATTGCTACAATTCATTTCTGACAAATTGGCACATAAAAATGGTTCAAAATGCCCTCCTGAAGTAAACAAAGCTCATTTTAATTTTGTATCTGACAGGAAGCTGTGTTTTTAAGAACCATGCTATGAAAAAATCATACAATCATAGCATTTGAAAATTTCACAAGGACAATGTTTTTTTCATGTCTGATTATGTGTCTTTGACCAAAATATATTCACAATTTTAAGACTTAAGAACAGGAGTTTTAAGTCAAGTTTCCCTAACTACATAGACTAGAGTTTTTGTGTTTTGAAAATAATAAAATTTTAAAAACCAGTAGGGTGGTAAGTTTTGTTTTTAGTACCTCTTGGTATTTTGCTACATTTGCAAAAGGGACACTGGAAAAGTTGCCACCACAGTTGGCTTTACAGTGGATCATTTGTCAAATAATAGTGATGGTTTAGTTTCGTGAGTAGTAGAAAGGAAATATGTTGGGTTGCGTACTGAACACATTACTTTTTGTTCAGTTATTTACACTGATTCCCACATCCACATTTCTAAGCCTGGTCTCATCTAAGCTCTGGATACAATATGTTGGTTTGTGTCCTTGGAGAACACATACTTCCAAGTACCCTGTAGGCATTGCAGCTCTTTATGTTCAGAATGAAATGTGTCTACCCTTCCCTGAAAATTTGCTTTCTCCTGTGTGTCAATGAAAAGCCACTTCCACACAGCCCAGGTGTTAGAAGCGTATTGGAACCATAATTTTTTTGTTTTCCTTTTTTGAAGATATGGTCTTGCTATGTAGTACATAGTGATCCTCCTCCCTCAGGCTCCAGGGTATGAACCTTAGTTTTGACTTCTTTTTCCCTCACTATGGATTCTACTTTTAAAAAGATGTATTTCCATTCTAATTCCACTCTTTTAGTTCAAGCCATTTTACTTCTGTGTACAAACTACAATAGCTTCCTAACTGGTCTCTGACAGAGGCTTTGGTTTTTTGGGACATAAGAAGGAGTGAGTGTGCCACACAGGAAAAAGAGATTATTCAAAGCAGAGAGGGAACTGGTAAGGACATTTCCAGGGTTGCTGCAACCCTGGCTTATGAAGAATTTTGGGTGGTCTGTTGTGAAGGAGAACACCAGGAAGCCTGGCTCCTCATCTCACCCAAATAAGCTGGCATGAGAACATGCACCTTACTCTGGGTCCATATGTGCATTCAGATGATCCTATTCTGTACCTGCAGATGAAATGTATTCTATTTTATGAGACAATGTCCTGAGTCAATACTATTCTCAAGTTCTTGGTTGTTATTCATGAAAAAAAATATCTCAGATGCACACAAAGTCTTAGAACAGATGCTCAGAAAAGGTACTCTATTGCAGGGTCTATCACAACAGCGCTTGCTGAAAAATTTTGAAATTTCCCTAGCATTGTTGCTTTCATTTCTTTCTCTGCTGGAGCTTGTGTCTTGACTTTCGTTTAATAGTTAATGTAGCATATTTGTTTGTAAAAATCCTAGTTTTTCCTTTGCTTAGGATGTGAATAATATCTTTGTAGTTTTTCCTTGCACAACAACTGAAAGGTGAAAGTCATATTTATCCTTTTTCCTTGACAGATGAACAACTAAATTCACAGCACAAGTTCAGTTATTGTTACTAGAGGCTGGCTGGCTGTGTGAATGAACTGTAGCCCAAATGGATCCAATGCAGAGAGAGCAGATAGGTTCTCAAATAACCCAAGCCGATAAGACACCAATAGAGCAATTAACCCATGTAAGGTTGATACACTGTGTCAGTTTGAGAAGTTTCAGTGACTCGGAGCCAGGGCCCTCACTTTGTAAACAGCCTCATCATGTAGAGGAGGGCAGGGAAATGGTTTGAGTGCTGCACTGGTTCTAGGGGTTGGTAGTCTTGAGATATAAGGGAGGAGAAGAGCCCTGGTCTCCCACCTTCTGCTCCTGCTGCCTTTGCTGTCTTCTGCCGCTCTGAACTGTTGCCCCTCAGTCATGCCACCCTACCTTGGAGCCAGCTGATTACAGACTGAAACCTTCACAAGGTATGACCTAAATAAACCTTTCCTTCCTTAATTTTGGGCATCTGGTATTTTGTCTGAGCAACAAGAGAAAAATAACCAAGAAAATCTATTAATTTACTTGGAAGTTAAAAGATGTAAAATACCGTTAAACATCACTGAGATTAATACTTTTATCATAACTGACTTCTAATTTTATGTTTTAGTCTGTTTCCATAATGAAGTGGTAATGCAGAATATCTGGCAGGTCACTGGGCTCACAATGTCTTGGACTTTTTATATTTGTTACAGGTATTTTAATGGGCTCCTTTTGTTTTAAAGCATACCCCTAATGGCACAAATCACTGGATAAATACATAATTGTTCATTTCATTTGGAATTTAACTTATTGTTAGACTTCTAGGAGGTCTAAAAGGACTTTAGCTTCAGGAAGCTTTAAAGGAAGATTTTTAATTTATACCAGAAGATTTTTATTTAATATATCATTTAAAGAAAAATATATTAAATAATTTCTGCTATTGTTCAGTATTCACTTTAGTGATATAGAACCTTGACTGTAGTCACTCCTGATTAACTACTTAAATGTTATGCATGTTTTAAATGCATGTTCAGCCAAAAATGAGATTACCTGTTTTTTTTTTTTTTTTTTTGGTACCAGGGGTCACATCAAGGCTTTTCACTTACCGAACAAGTGCTTAAGCCACTGAGCTAAATCCCCAGCCTGAGATTACCTGTTTTAATCTTTAAAAATGTAAGTGTACTTATTTTTCTTACAATACAAAAATTTCTAATTTGGCTGCTAGGAAAGTGTTAACTCCAAGTCTGATTCCCAAAATGATCAATAATATAGTTTCTCAAAAATACCTAAACAAATATAATACAAAAGCTGTTGATTATTATCTTGCATTTCTTTGTAGATTTGGTGTGTGTTTCAAAAAATAATGCTCCAGAGATAATTAATGGACATTTAACCATGGTCATTTAAACACCAAATGTCCATCTAGATATTGATAGGCCTCCCACCATAACATTAACATGTGCCTTTCCCTTCTTTTTTTTTTTTGTCTTTTTTAGACAGAGTCTCTCTATGCAGTTCAGGCTGGCCTTGAGCTCACTTTGTAGCCCAGGCTGGTCTCTTTTTTTTTTAAATCGGTACTGGGGACGAATTCACGACCACCTGCTTGCAAGGCAGGTGCTTATGCTGCTGAGCTAAATCCCCAGCCCTCAGGCTGGTCTCAAACTCGCAATGATCCTCCCGCCTCAACCTCCCGAATGCTGGGATTACAGGCATGAGCCACCACGCCCGGCGCCTTTCCCTTCTTGCCCTTCAGTGTTTTTAAAAAACAGAAAAAAAATTCCCTTGAATATGATAGGAAAAATTTAAATATCTTAAAACCGTCTAGCTTAAAATGGCAGATTATTCTTACATGTCTTTTGCTAAAATAAACAAGAGAGGTTTTTAAAGATGGTAATCCCAAAGACAAAGGTAATAGGAGATAACACTGAATGAAAGGTATCAACCCCTTTCCAGTCAGCCAAAGGACAATAGATGGAGAGACGATAAAAGGCATTCAGAAAGTTACATGTCAGATGTCTGCAAGGGGTTAGTTATACTGGAGAGATCAGTCCACTTGGCATAGAATCTGTGAGAGAAACTCCCGATTTTGCAGGGAGACTTCAGGAAAGGTGGAAAGGTGTAAGCTAGACACATGAGATTCATTAAAATGGGCTCAAGAGTTGTATGTTTAACATTGCTATCCTACCTATCCTATGAAACCAGGTGATTTCCCACCCTGCAGAGGATGCAAGGCTTATTTTTTGGATAAATTCACCTAGGAAAAGGCTAGCATGTGGAAGTCTATGTATTTACTGCAGGAATGCCACCCACCCCTCCTCCCGTGTTCGCACTATACCAGTACCTAGGCACACAACCTTTCACTCCACCCCATACGGGCATAGAGTTCAAAGATTCTCTTCGAAGAAACATGGTCCTAGAGAAAATTTCGAATTTCTCTCTCCCCCTCTCCGCACCCCCTGCTCCCCTTCTTCCCTCTCTCCTCTCTGGCCCTCCCTCCCTCCTGGCTCCCCTCCCTCCGCTCCCCCTTCAGCCTTCTTTCCTCCCTTTTCTGTCTCCCTCTCCTCCCTCTCCCTTCTTGCTCGCACTGTCTCCCCCTTCTCTCTTTTTCTTTTGTGTTGAGGATTTAACCCCGAACTTAATACAAACTAAGCAGAGCCCCACCATTGAGCTACACTCCTAATGCACCCCCATCTGGGTTGAATCCACACATTGAGTCTGGCTATAGTTGCAAAAATCCTTTTTTTTTTTTTGGTACTATTTTTACTGGTGCATGTTTGCAGTAGATGGTGATTACATTTATGGGGAAGTGGGTACATACACATAACACATTTTAATTCTTTTCACTTCCCCATCTCCTCCTGGCCCGCAAACTGCTTCCAATGACGACACTACAGTTCCTCAGAGGGCTCGCTTCTGCCCCCTGGCGGGGTGCACTGGCCGCTGCTGCTGGCTGCCCCGCTGCCCCTTCCGGCCCCGTGAGGCCCGCGAGCCCCTGGCCGGGGGTTACTCTCGAGCGCAGAGGGCGACGGTGGCCCAGCAGGGGTTCCGAGGCCTCCTCCGGGTGCAGTGGGGCCGCCAGGCGGGAGTGGGGGTGTGAGCCTCGGGTCCTGCCCGGCAGAGGGAGGGAGGCGGGCACCATGAAGTCCAGCCCCTCCATCCAAGCCGCCATCGACCTCATAGCCGGGGCTGCGGGGGGCACCGCGTGTGTCCTGACCGGGCAGCCCTTCGACACAATGAAGGTGAAGATGCAGACGTTCCCCAAGCTGTACGGGGGCCTCACCGACTGCTTCCTGAAGACCTACAGCCAAGTGGGCTTCCGCGGCTTCTACAAGGGAACCGGCCCCGCCCTGATGGCCTACGTTAGCCAGAGCTCTGTCTTATTCATGTGCTATGGCTTTTGCCAGCAGTTTGTCAGAAAAGTGGCTGGACTGGACGCGCAGACAGCGCTGAGTGATCTGCAGACTGCAGCTGCAGGGTCCCTGGCCTCCGGGTTTGCTGCCCTGGCCCTCTGCCCCACTGAGCTTGTCAAGTGCCGGCTGCAGGCCATGCATGAAATGGAGAGGACAGGGAAGATAGCAAAAGGCCATCACTCAATCTGGTGTGTCGTGAAGAATATCCTTCAGAAGGATGGCCCCTTAGGTTTCTACCATGGACTCTCAACCACTCTGATTCAGGAGATACCAGGCCATTTCTTCTTCTTTGGTGGCTATGAACTGAGCCGAACATTCTTTGCATCTGGGAGATCAAAGGATGAACTAGGCCCTGTTCCTTTGATGTTAAGTGGTGGAGTTGCTGGAATCTGCCTCTGGTTTGTCATATTCCCAGTGGATTGTATTAAATCTAGAATTCAGGTTCTTTCCATGCATGGAAAACAGGCAGGATTTATTGGAACTCTCTTAAGTATTGTGAGAAATGAAGGAATACTAGCCTTATATTCTGGACTGAAAGCTACCCTTATTAGAGCCATCCCCTCCAATGCTGCACTGTTTTTGGCCTATGAATACAGCAGGAAGATGATGATGAACAAGTTGGAAGCATACTGAAATGTCGGTGACCCTGAATGCAATACATGAGTTTCAGAACTAAGTTATTAGGGCTTATGGAGTACAAGACCAACATAAAATTATTTTTGAGTGTGTGGAAACTTTAGTGTTTTTTTTTTAATTCTAAACTTCAAACCATATGGAAGGATCCCTATTTTGAGTCACTTAATGCATCTTTACAATCATAATGAAATAGAAATGCTGTTGCTCTTGCACTTGGTGGGATATATAGGTTGAGCTTTGTGGCTCTATGTTCTTAATCTGAAAGATTAAATATAGTTATCTTAGGTCTTTTTCATAAGCCTGTATGTGAACATGCAGTTTCAATGGTTAGGTGTCGTGAATGAAATGCAGTTTGGCTCCCTATTTAGTCACAAATATCACCCCAAAATCCAGAACTGATAGTCTTTCATGAAGATGGGTATAAATGCCTATCCTTCAAGATGTAGGGTCTGTATTAAAACTTGTTTAACATGTGCACTACATAACATTATGCTACCTTTTTTTAAGTAGTGCTTGAGAACCAAAATATTCATGTAGCGTTTTGGGGGGAATGTAGCAATATAGTGGTGAGTGTTCCACATTCTTGAGTAAAGTTTCATGGTAAACACCTTGAATTTCTCACTCTGTATTTTTTAAATTGTGCCATTTATTTACAAAGTGGGATTATATTCTGCACTGTGATAATATTGTTAGGTGTGGTCTGGAGTATTAGAGGTTTGGGGAGCAGCATGGCCTTTACCTTTCCTTCTTTCTCACAGAGCCAGGTTTTAGATTGAGGAAGGAACTAGTTTCTGTTACTATGCTTTAATGAAGATTCGTGTGGATGAAAACAGTTCTTAGCTTCTGGTCTCTGGGTTTTTGCTTCAGTGGGATTTCAGAGTGCTCTGTAGCCTGTTTGAGGGTATTGATTCACTTTGGGTCACTCACTTTTCCCTGAGCTTCGGGCGTTTAGAAATTCTTCCAAGGAACAGGAAGTGCCAAAGCTAAAAAAAGTTTTGTCCCATTTGGTGACAGAGTGACAGTACTGTTAAATGATATCATCTCCTCGGGCAGAGAATTTAGTGCTTTAACTCCACCTTGAGTAATGTCAGGAGTAACCCTGAAGTTTATATTTGAGTCCATTACTGTTTGCTCTGCATTCAGTGTTAGAGCCTTCTAAATTTGGTACTGGAGGTCAGTGAATTTTAATGATGTGGAGTGTGACCATATAAAGCATTGAAACATAAGAAAAGCAATTTTATTAACTACATTGACAGAACCCTCCAAAACAACTGCCCCACACCGAAACAAAAGAAACTACCCAAATCAGAGTTCAACTGATCCTCACAACTTATATTTGAGCAGTTGTTCTTTGGTGCTAGGGTGTAAGAGGGTTATTATTTCTGCTACTAAAGGAAGCTTCATCATTTGTATTTGGATACAGAGTCTCTTAATCCAAGTGTCCTGAAGCACCTGTAAAACTAAAAGGAAGTGGGTTACTAGTCTTAATAGTCCACCCAAATGTATGTAGCGTTTCAGCAGAATGTAAATTCTGTATGAAGTTTCCAGTTTCTTCAAGCTTTTTGTTATCAGTGAAGTCTCTGTGGTAATTATAGCCATTGTGCCAGAAGTAAGAGGGCCACAGAAATGAGATGCTGGCAAATAAGAGACACGGGATATTTGGGAAGGGGTTGCTCAGTGTCATTCCTTTTTTTGTGTGTGGTCCCGGGGATCGAACTCATAACCTCACACTTGCTAGGCAGGCGTTTGTGCCACTGAGCTAAATCCCTGGCCCCTCAGTGTCATTCCTGATGTGACTAGTCTTTTATTTACTTGCCTTTACTTTACTCTTACATTATTTTTGTATTTGAATTATCTATTCCATACTTAAATAGGCAATAGCTACTGACTGGTGGTTTAGCTAAGCAGGCCTGAAACAAATAAGCATGCACATAGGCTTGACTTTCAGCAGGAACCAAACTGTTTCAGCCTGTACTCCTCTTGTGTAGCACTCAGGAGTTAGTCTAAGTTAGCTCTGTTGTCAGCAGATCTTGTTCCATATGTTGTGCATTAAAAGTTTAACAAAATTCCTTCAATAGAAATAGTATGAGGCAAGTGTGAGTAGGAGTGAGGAATGGAAATCCATTTTATTTGCTTACTTTATGGCTGCACATCTGGTTACACTTTGTGTCATGTCAGATCTATACTCCAAGCAACAATATAGTAACTTGAAATATGTTTAAAGACATGTGAATGTTTCATCATTAAATTATTTATCTTACATTAAAATATTTAGCTTGCACCATTTATAATGTACTATATTGAGTTCTAGGTATTCAGACACTAATAATACTTAGATTTGAGGTCCTCATGTTCTAGATGTGTGTTATGTAGTTAGGAGAGTGATATTCCAAAATAAATTTGAGAGGAAAAATCTTCCCCACAATAAATCTATGATAGAATCTCTGAATTTAAGGAAATATCTCTTTACCTTGTGTTCTTGTTTTTACACTGTGATTGATTCTTTCAATTAATGCCATGATATTTGTTTCTAGGATTGAAATTGGACAAATCACTTTTCCAGATACCTAGCCTTATTTTAAATTTTACTCCAATTCCACATTGCATAGTTTTTTTGTTTGTTTGTTTTGGGTTTTGAGTCTGAGTCTCACTAGTTCAGGTTGGCCTTGAACTCAACACAATCCTTGCCTCAACTTTCAAAGTGCTGTGCTTACAGGAATGTGCCACCACACCTGGCTCACACTGCATAATTTACTCCTTAATTTAAAAACTTTGCTGTTGTTTGCTATCCTTTTTGTCTATTGTCAGAGCTATCTGGTTTGCCTCTTGTAATACTATAGTGATATTGTATCCAGATGTTCACCCTGTGCTAGCTTTTACTAGATACCACATTTCAGTAGTTGAAGTATCTCAGAAGGCTCTTGTATGGCAGTGGAGTATGATTTCGAGGCTGAAATTGGAGGGAAAAAGTGTGTTATTTTGTTTTGGCTTTGCTATCTAAAGAGGAGTGCTAATTACTTCCAGGAAGATGTTGAGTACATAATGTAGTCACTAGAGTTTTCTGATGAAGGCCATAAAATGTCCTTCTGCCCAAGCCTGCATTTTTTAACTTGAGCAATTTCTGACTTTGAAATCTGTTTTCAAAGTCTTTAGTTTGCTAGTGTCTGTTCAATATCTCTGGATTCATATGGAATTGCCTAGGAATCTTCTTCAAGAATCTTTCTAGGAAGTCACTTATGTCGATGTTGGAACTATTGCCAGCCTTGTGATCTATCGTATGAGGTCTACTGTCCACAGTGTGCTTTGCTCTCCCATGACACCAAATTTAGGCTCCTTGTTTTGAAAGGTGAACTACTGTCTCCCATCTCTTGACCTCTTCAGGGTTCATCAGTGCTGATGCTCTCTGTTCAATGCACAAGTCTTGGTGGCTTTTTCAAAACCACTTCAGAACATTTGATATTACCAGTTTTAGTTTTCATGCTAAGATGGAAAATTTCGTAAAATTGGTAAGCAGTTTTGTAGAAAATCAGCATCTCTTGAAATCCTGTTCATTCTCTATGTGAAAATAATGTCCCCAGAAAAGTTATTAAATTTTGCTACTGGGAATCCAGAGACTTGTGTACATAGTAAGTATTACTACTATAATCTAGAGAAGTTTCACTGGCTCCTTCTCAATAACCTGGACTCTGAGCAGATATTAACAAAAGCATATCTCTTACTCACTGATTACTGAGAAGAAATGCACCTATCTGCCTATGGACAAATGGTGAATTCCTTTTGGCAGTGCTGGTAGTTCTTGGTTTAGTTCCTTGGTGACATTGCCACAAAATAGCATTCTTTATCTCATTGGCCCTGGAGATATAAGATCTTCTCAGACTCAGGTTCTCATTTAGTCACCAAGAAGCAGCTTGGCCAAGTTGGTCTTCTGAGCCTGGAGTTGGCTGCATGCCATCATTCTCCTCTGGTAAGGGCTTTATGGGATTTTAGTACACACTGTTCTTTACTCTGTGCTTTACTATTATGTTTTCCTTCCTTCTCTACTTTGACATCTTGAGTTAAAAGCTGATCTGGGTCAATAATTTCTTGTTCTGTATCCAAACATTGTTCCTTAGGTTCGATTCTCTTCAAGCTTCAGAACTATACAGGAAGATTCCTGGATTCTAGACTCTTTTAGTAAGACAAGGACTAAATGAGGCTGAATGTTTTTGGCGAAATACTTCTTTGATTATTATGTGTACTGTCTATCACATATACCTTATTAAAAAATCTTTCTGTATCTCAGATTTATAGAAGTAGATTATGATTGACTTTCATCATTAGTCCATATATGATCCACCTTATTTACTTATACAATAGCATCTTTTTTGTATCTGTGAGTGTATCATGATCTACCTAGTTAACTCTCTCTGTTTCTATTTTTTGTAAGAGAATGGATTTCAATGAGTTGCCCAGGCTGGCCCTGAACTCTTGTGTTCAAATGATCCTCTTGTCTTAGCCTCCCCAATAGCTGGATATATACCACCATGCCTATCTTATTAATGTAATTTTAATTTTTGCATTTTATTATTTTGTTGTTGTTATTTGTTTGTTTTGTGTTTTTTTGTTTTTAGTACTGGGGATAGAACTTACAACCTAGTGCTTGCCAGGCAGGTGCTTATGCTGCTGAGCTGAATCCCTGACAATTTTTGCATTTTAAAGAGATAAAAGTAAACAAAAATAAAAACAATAATATAGAGTTTCAAAACAAGATAATAAGAAATTAACAGTTGTTAATATATTGTGTATTGTCTTCAAAGTAGTCCCTTAGATTATAAGATGTAGATGTGAAAAAATAATCAACCCCAAAGAGAAAAAGATATATATATATATGTATATATATATATATATATAATAGCTAACATAATTGTACTATTGATCCTATTAATTCAGGGAAAGAAACTATGATTGCTTATGTCATTTGATCTGTCTTGCATGCCTATATCTTGTAATCTGAGCAACTATTTTGAAGATAACCATATGCAATATAGTGACTATTGTTAATTTCCTATCAACTTGCTTCAAAATCCTGGATTGTTTCTACTGTTTTATTTTTTTAATCTCTTTAAAATAAAATTAACCAATATAAGCACTGATTAATCCCTTCGATGAACTAATAGAAATTAGTAGTAGGAACAAGTCAGCACTGCCCAAGATCCAGCCATATTGGAACTTGGGGGGCTGAGCAAGAAAGCAACAAGCTCTCCCTCCTGGTGAGCGGTGGCATGAGTGAGCCAGGAGAGAACAAGTCAGCATTTCCCACGAGCCTACTGGTATGCAGGTTAAGAATCAAAAGTCCAGGGATGGTGTTGAGGACAGCCAGAGTTGATTGCAACTAAGGCACATAAAGCAACTAAATACTTGTATTGTTGGGTTAATTATGCTGACCTAGGGCCAGAGGACTGAGCATCTCTTGGGAGGATGATTGTATGTGATATAGCAAATATGAGGGATTTCCTTCTATCTTGTCTTTGAAGACAAACATTGTTTTTTTTTCTTCTTCTTCTTCTTTTTTTTGGTACTGGGGATCAAACTCTCGACCTTGCACTTGCCAGGCAGGCACTTATGCTGCTGAGGTAAATCCTCAAGCCCCCAAACAGTGTTTTCACTGTTTTGCTTTGTTCTGATCAATTGTTTTTGCTCTATTCAACATTCTATTTTGATAGGTTATATAATGTTCTGTTTTTGGTTTGATTTTGCTATACCTGATCGAATGGACAACTATTGTGAAGATAACAAGATATACTATGATACCTATTACTGTTATCCTGGTATCTGAAGTGCTGTAGCAGTTTCACTGTGCTGTCTTGATTGGCTTTGTTCTGTCTTGTTTTGTTGTATTTTACTACCTTAAAAAAGAAATTAGTAGTATAATTATATTCATGTAGTTTAAAAAATTTACAGAAATGGTAAAATGCCTATGTAACAGTTTTACTTTTGCACTCATTTTTCCCATGTAGTATTTTGTTAAAAAAAATCCAATAATCTTGTGGTGTTACTGTAGCTCATTTATTTCAATTGCTGCAAGATACTATCTTATGAATGAAATGCCATAGCTAATTCATTCAGTTGATGGGCATTTGGATTATTTTCTGATTTTTCCTGTGTATGCTGTTGCTATATTTACATCTATCTATCTATCTATCTATCTATCTATCTATCTATCATCTATATTCTAATATAACTGTGAAAAATCTTCTTGGAGATATGTATAACTAAGAATAGAAATTCTCGACCGTCAGTATTTATCTGGGAGTAAAATTAATCCAAATTTAATAGACAATAACTGTTGGGAGCTGTTGAAACTGGAAATTGAACTCATGAGCAGGGCTGCAGCATGGCCTGGGCATGTCTGACCCAAGAACAAGGAGATGTGTCAAAGGGAAAGATAAGGTCACAGCTGAGAATACCTGGCCCCAACTCCAATTAAGTAAATAAAGACTTTAGCTCTAGGCATTTTACTCCTGTAGTGAAATGCAACATGGAAATCTTTTCCTAAGATACTTCTAAATTAACACAAAATAGTTCTCCTAAATTAAATATAATCTGTTACTGAAAAAGTCCTTGAACCACCCCCAAGTTCTGTTTAGTTTTCTGCATTTTCCACTCTAATTCCTTCCTTGTTTGAAAACTAAATTAATACAGGCCACCCAGAGGCATCCCTTGTCTTAGCCCCCAGAGTCTCAAACTCTGCAGAGAGTTTTGATCCTCCTGGAGCCCTCAAATCATGCCACTTGTCTCATTTATTTAAGCTTTCACTGTACACTCATTTGGGAGTTTGGGGATCTAGGTCAAGTCCCCAATAACTGGTGCCTGGAACAGGGATTTGAAATCTTTAGAATAGGGATTTTAACATGAATGAATAAGTCTACCTAAAGTGGAAAGTGTGGGAATGGAGAAGGAAAACTTCACTAGGGACACTGGGAGAAGAGAGGGAAGAACAAAAGTGAGTCTTCCCACTGTGAACAAGCCATTTTACCCAGGAGTAAAATGGGGCAAAAGTTTTCAGCCAAGGGGAAAAGACACATACAGTTGTTCCAAGGCCTGCTTAAACACTCAGGGGTTTATGTGCCAAAGAAAGACCTAGCAAATATAATCCATGGTTTCCTCAGACAGGCACTATAGATAGTTGATAACTGGGAAAGAGTTGGAAAGAATCTTTAAAAAGGTACATAGTGCAGGAAAAATCATTTCCCTTAAGATGTTCTCAATTTGGAATCTGATTTGTTCAGTTTTGAATGTGTTACTGAGCTCATAGTCAATAGCTCTGGTTTGGACATGGAAGAGATGAAAGAGCTCCCAGTGGGAGCTGCCTGCAGCCAAGACAGAGTCCTTGGAGAAGTCACCTCCACAGGAGCCAAAATCTTTACAAAGAATATCCCATATGGCTCTCTCCAGAACTTTATGAGTTTTAAGGGGAGAAGTGGCTCTGAAAGGGGAGAACCTTGCTGTGAAAGGGGCAGGCACTCTGCTTGCTTCCCAGCTGGAATTCAAAGAGATGCTAATGACCATGAGTATTTTGTTCATATGCCTTTTGAAATACAACTACTAAAAAATCTCGGACAAAGTTTTAACAATGAAGTCCAAAGTCCATTATGGGACTCTTATAAAATGTTTCAGATACGTATCAATTGACACCTTATGATAGCAAACATCTGGCACAAATATGCCTGTCTCCTGCTCAATTCCTTCATTTTGAAGTCTTATTTCAGAGCATAGTCACATAAACAGAACAGGTCTTAATACATACCCAGTAATAAGTGAGGAAATGCTTTCTTGGACAGGAATATATGTGCTGCTTGAGTAACAGATTTAATGTCCTAATGAGCTATATTCACAACTGGTAAATTTAATAAAGCATGGAGAACTATTCCAGAGGATGGGGATCCTGTGCAATCCTGTTTACATATTCTTCAAGAACCTCAAGAGCCCTTTACTCAATTCATGGCTAAATTACAAGAAGCTGTTCACAGACCGGTTTCAAACACGAAGCTGTGAACATTTTAACTCTATAATTAGCATATGAAAATGCCAATCAGGACTGTAAACAGGCTTTATGTCCTGTAAAATCAACCAATGATTTAACATCAATATTCAATCTTGTCAAGACATTGGAACTGAATTATATGACAACTATGATGGCTCAAGTTATGGCTGGTGTTGCGAAAGCAAAAAGGAATAATTAAAATGTTTTAAAATGTGGAAAAATGGGGCATACTAAAAATTGCAGAGTTCTTGCTGGATCTAATAGGGAAGATGCTGCAGCTGCAGCAAGTCAAAGAAGCAAAGCCTCTGGCATGGAGAACTCAGGTCCCTGCACTTGGACTCTGTTTGAGATGCCAAAAAGGGAGGCATTGGGCCAAATACTATCATTCTAAATTCCATAAGGGCGTACACCTTTGTCAAAAAAATGATGTGAGGGCCTTTACTCAGGCTCTCCAAACAAAAGAGAAGGCACAGCCTGTGAGTCAAAATGTCAGTCAGTTTTACCCAGTGCAAACTTCCCAGCAGATTTAACAATAGCATCAAAGGTGGCTCCCTGGAGAGATGTTAACTCACTTAACAGGGAAACAATTCAAAGTTCAGGATTGATTAGATCTTCCTAAATCTTGCAGAGTCATTCTCATTGGAAGTGACCAGCCTACAGAAATTTGGGGTTCCCCACCTGAAGGAACAGTTGGTCTTGTCCTGGGAAAGGCTGATTTGAGTCTAAAAGGTGCCTAGTGTGATCAGTGATGATTGTAGAGATGAGATACAAGTTCTTGCATGTGCTGTGGATCTCTGGCTTTTTGAACAGGGAGATTATGTGGCACAGTTGATCTTGTTACCTATAGACAAGCCTTCCTTTTAAAAATATAGACAGCTTAACAGGGAGCAAGACCCTCAGAGCAAGAGTACAAAAAGATATTTAATTTACACAGGAAGTGACTAAAACGAGGCCTATGTGTGGAAAGTGCTTTGAAGGTCTGATAGATACTGGTGCAGATGTGTCTGTAATTGCAACAGAACAATCTCCTGCCATGTGGCTGAGACAAAGGGTTCCTACATCTCTTATCAGGCTGGGAACCCTCAGCATGTGTTACAAAGTGTCTTACCCCTACTTCATAAGGGGACAGACCAACAAAAGGGTTTCTTTTTATCGTCCATGGCACCTATTCCAGTTCACTTGTAGGGGAGAGATTTGCTAAAAGAATAGAAATTAATACTGGCTAGTGATTTTGATTTTAAAACTAAACAAGTACTTTACAGGGAGATACAGCTATTGATTTCCCTTATAGTTTATCTTCTAAGGCTCAAAAAGAGTTAGCTTTAATTGAAAAAAAGTTATTACAATGTCACATTTTTAGAATAAATACAAATCATCCTCTTATTCTTTACAACCTAAATATTCCTCATTCTCCTACATGTCTCATAGGGTAGTATTATGATAAACAACTTTACCTTATTGAGTGGCTTTATCTTTCTAACCAGTTAGTCAAAATTTTTCTGTTACACTTAGAACAAATTGCCAAAGTGGTCACCACAGAAAGAATAATGTCTAAACAACTCTTTGGTATTGAACCTGCTACAATTGTATTGCCTTTTTATTTAAATCAGTATTTGACCCTGCTACAACGAGCTCTATATTGGCAAGTATTCTTTGAAGATTTAATAGGACAAATTGATAATTACTTTCCCAGTGATCTTATCTTTCAATTTTTTCAAGCATTCATATATTATTCTAAAAATTACTAAATTTGAACTTATTACTGATGCAACAACTTATTTTACTTACAGCTCATCAAAAGGCAGGGCTGCAA